TCGAAAAGTAATTAATTGGGGTTTGAATTTTATCGAATTAGTTATTCACCCCTCGACTACGATATACGAACTGCAAAACTACTGGTATGTTTTTTCAATCGAACGTGCGTCGATGCATCTACGCTTTCGATCCTGTTTTTCGAGGGGTCATGAAGGAAAAATAGAAGGGACTTAATCGAACAACTAAATCGTGTCTTTAATTGTCGAAAATGTGGCAATCATGCCTAACAAGAGGGGTAAAATGTAATTATGTCTATAACCTCAATCAACTTCAAGTACATAATTATAAGATTCTATTGACCTGGAAGCCTCGTCTGTAACATGTGAATTTTGGAAACTTCTCGGAATCTTGCTGTGTTATAGGTGCATGCCATGGTGGCTCCCTGCAGAGTTCAAGATTGACGCATTTTCGAGTGCGACCACCGAGTTGAAACAACAAACTCTTTACTTTTAATTGTGTTTTACAACTTGGTTTTGTTTCGATCATTGTTTCTTAAATATATTCTAGGTGGCAGCGCGAGTTAATTTAAAGTCATTATGTCTATTTACATTGGAAAGCTTTACTTGTGTTAGGACTTAATTTGAAAGAAACTGAGATTTCTTTGAACATGGATTTTTTTCAAGAATTTCAAGGTCTTTGTGTGACGCAGGTTTAGTTTCTGAAAGTAATCCATGGGGATCCGTGGGTGATTAGAGCAATTTTTTCAATTCAGTGTTTGAAGTAATCCGGGAATGCACATGTTTGTTTCACTTCGCTCTGTGATTGGTCCAGAACACTTGCGCCACACTTTCAACCAATCAGGTTTATGACTAAAACCAATCACGACTTGGCCGCCCCCGTTTTCGCGCGTTTTCCCGCGCTTTGGGCAGTTTGGCTGTTTTTACTTTGAGGTCTCATCGACTCTTCTTGGTATTTGCCATTGTTTTAATCGGCCATTACGATTACACGTATACGTAATTTGGTTTTGGTTTTACGACACTCAATGGAAATGCACTCTAACGAAGAGCAAGAGAAATTGTTTTACCCAAAGCGACAATCCAAATGTTGAAATGAAAACTTCTTGTATAACTACATTTAAGCAGTACTAGTAAAGCAATTTAGTGCGACTTTTCAAATGAAAAGACGAAAATCAGACCTGAAAAAAATTTCAGGTCTGATTTTCGCTATTGCATAAATAGCGCTATCTACTGCGAGGATCGTGCATCATACGAAAGCCAATAAGTAATGTTTTCATGCTATACTTCGCTCTCCTAACTTAGTCTATGCGAAATGAAAACCGAGTACGGACAATGAGACGATACCGGGTAATCAGCCTGATTTTTACTGCTTCTACGGATATGAAAAGTTTCCTGCTTTTGCGGTCGCGTCTCGCTGAATCGCAATAAGTATTTTTTTTTTTTAATGAAAATGAAAATGTCCTTCACATCGTAAAAAATGTCGTATTACGCCCCGTACTCTTAGTAACAGCGGCCATCTTTCTCTGCCCCAAAGTTACCCTGCGAGCAGAGGTCTCTTCGATCTTCCTTGAACAGTCGAGGAAGATCGACGGGACCTTTGGGTACCCCTAAGTTAGCCACTGAGGCGATGTTCGACTGTGTAAGATCAGTTTGCTCGAAACGCAACGGCCGGTCTCTTCAGGAGAGGTTCGAATTAATTATTGCTTAAGATAAGTGTAACATTGAAATTAAGTAAATTATCTAGTCTTGTCGCAGCGAAGGATAACGTGTGAATGACATATATATCAGTCAGTGTGTGTAATCTCATTCTGCCAAAGAAGACAGCCATCCCAAGATGAAGCAAAACAGGAACCATTTCAGATGTGTTAGCCTTTTCTCTTTTCATTTTTTAAGATCTTTTTTAAAGGAGAATAAAAAGATTCATAATTTCTACTAGTCTAATGCAGTTAATTGTACCCGACTGTAGTTTAGTCCCGGGGGGGACTCCCATATGAAACAGACGTGGATGCTCGTCGGAAATTTTAAATTTAACCTCTAAAGGAGACCATCTGGGCGTGGCTTAAGCAAAATTTGACCCCTAAAAGAGACCGCTCATGTTCATGCATTGTCTCTTTGGCACTTGGTAAAATAGAAAACTAGTTAATGTTGAGGTAATACGGTAAACAAAACAAGTTAAAAAGAAAATTTTACTTCTGTTTCTCTTTGCGTAATTCTGTATTTCTTCGCGGAACCCTAAACGAGATCTTAGCGGCTTAAAATATTGGCACTTTGTCTGAACACCCTAAGCGAGACCAAAATCCAAAATTTACACCCCTAAGCGAGACGACGAGCATCTCCGTCTGCTTCATATGGGATTCCTCTCCCCCCCGGAGTTTACTTTGATTTCATTTTAATGTCTTCACTTTCGTTTGCATCAATTTCATTCGAAAGCAACGTCGAAAGAAAAATCGTTGCATTCTTATAATCTTTCCTAAATGAGATTTGTAGTTCGAGAAAAATGTGGTCTGTAGTGGAGACTGTTTGGGTGGCAAATTTATTATGTATATCTCTCTCGTATATTTGCAACTCAAACGCAAGTTTGAGACCAATACCACTTCGTCTTTACAGTGCCCACTCGGTTTACAATCGCAACATATTCACATCCATCTCTGCGGCTTCGTGAAATCTTAAATTTAGAGCAAAATGTACGAAATATACTAATTTTATCACGTCCGTCCTCAAACGTTTGTTTATCAATTTGTCTAGCTCTTATAAAACTAAACAGTCCACGGGAAAATATTTGCAGAATTTTGTCTTCTGTGACAACAGGAAATGTTTGTAATTGGTGCACACGCCTCGAAGATTAAATGTCTTATTGGTGAGGAGTTAATTTCGTGGGTTGCGATGAGTACTTCAGTTTTCTTTCATATTCCCGACTTCTCTTCTGTTTTTCATCAAGGTGTACAAGGTCAATATTCTGTTTACAATCACTCCGACGTACTCGTTGCGTTCTCAAGAATATTCACAGTGGTGTTATTACCCAAGACCTCGACTCTTTACTTTTGAAATTGGCAGCTTGTTTTTCAAGAAAACTTTGCACGGCGTAACTCCAGATCATTTTTTCTCTGATTGTGACCTATCTGCCAGTTTAACACCTTGTGATAGAGTGTTTAAGCTGTTATCTCTTAAGTTATTGATGTAGGCATATCTTAGATTATAGTGCCATTCTTTCCGTTGAGTTTTTGACGGAATCGATCAGAGGCAACGGGTGTCTGTCAAAAGGCGATTGATGAACGACGATACTTCTTCACCGACACTTCCAATTTGAATTGTACAACTAGCGCACTAGGTACAAGCTGTCGTTTTTGTTTATTGTCTATCATATTTCACTTTTTGTTTCTTTCTTGATTCTTTGTCGAAGTCCGCGCTTCTTAACCTTTGTTTTCGCGTGACTAGTTGTTTCATTCTCTTGAGGCGCGAGATAATCTCCCGCGCGCTAATTTTCCGAGTCTTTATTTTGTTGGCGTTGGGTTTCAAACACAATCGATTGTTCTATTGTGATATTCTACTGCGCTCTGGCTTCGCATGGAGCGAACCATTTACAAGCACTGTGAGATCATTCGCTTAGGCCGTAATTCGCTTGTTTGCTTGGCCTTTATTAAGCTTATTTTGAAGGTGAACCTCATGTCAACGGCTTCGCAACGGTGTTTTAAGCCCTGAAAACTGGATTCCACTAAGACGCGAACACTGAGTTGGGATTTGCTGTGCGCCACAGGTCGAGTACAGAATTTCCTCTGTTTGTATTTGGTAATAGATACAGCGCGCTGGTGATATTATGCACGAAAAAAAATCAACCCAGGAAGCAATAAGAAAAGAAACAGCTGATTCACTGAAACTTTTACAGGATATTCGTAGAACGATTCCTTCCTGATTTGTTTTGGGTTTGGCTTCCACCGCAGGACTCCATGGAGCGATGGCGTATGTCTGTCAAAGTTATTGCAGTTGTTTTGTCACTCAGACGTTTGGTGGTCATCTAGAATGCGTCTCAGATGATTTCATAATGTCGTGGTGTTAGGTTTATTGGTATAACAACGCTAATGATTTTGGCGTGGGAAAGTCTGCAAAATTCTGACCCGTGCATCCCAAACGGGAATCTGGGAATTTTTTTCCCTACCTCCGGCGCGGCGCGCTGAAATGAGGCGGGTGCGGAACTTAAAACGTGTACATAAAGCGTTTCTTGCTAAAATTGGATCGGAAATTCAGAAAGGGAACTTAGGCTGGGCGAATCTCGAATCGAGTACCTTCTAAATCTTTTTATGGCAACATTTTGTGCTATTTGGTGTATCCGCCAATAGGCAGCCCACGCACTGGCTACTTCGTGATCCTTGAGTAACAATCAGTGGCGAATCCTAAATTCTCCGAATCGTTTCTAAGATCAGGTTACGTTATATCTCGGAAGGTATTCCTTTCGCGGAACTGAGCACAACGTCGGTTTGTATTCGGTGGCGAGTTTATTTATGTCTTCGTATGGCTGTCTTTGCCTCTGTACCTTTTCAACGAAGCGGTGTCCAGGATTTCCCGCATTGTAAGTCAATTTTCGGATGTTGGCTTGTGTTATTTCAATCTACAGTCAAAACGATTCGCGCGAAAGATAACCAGATGAAGGAATGCTGTGTATTTATCTTCATCTCGACGAAATAATAGCAAGCCGACCACGGTGATTTCGAGTAGAAATACCATGATAAAGATTGCTATCATTTGACATCTCTCCTCTCTGTTCTAACTCAAAAACTCTTGTGTTCCTTGACAAACAGTTTGCGGCAGTGAACTAATTCTCCTGGAGACAAATATTTCTTATTTTGAGTGTTGTGGATTATCTCTTTCTAAAAATATTAATTCTCACAAGTGTGGTTAGTATTCGGCCGCAAGTTTGTGCAACTTGCGCCGGTAATTTCCGCACAGAATGAACGGGCTTAATTTCGTGAGCATAAGTCGAGTAACTTGTGCATAGCGGCTTAAAAATATCCTTCACTAACGAAATCTTGGAATCCTCTTCATTACAGATTACCACAGCAAGTCTGATAAAAGAGAACAAGATAGTGCAGTAAAAGGAGGCTCTGACGCTCTGAAACGTAAGTATTTATAATACTCTCTTCCGTCATATCTGTTCGCTTACACCAGAGAAGACCAGAGGATATTGATTCAAGATATTGTACTGAAGTTCCGACTCTCTAGTTTTTAACTGCATCCTAGTACAGACTTTAATAAACTTAGAGCTGTCTTGCGCAGCATAATAAACCTACGGCATGATAAGCTTTCATTGGAATGGTTACACGCTAGAGTTTTATTCACAAATGCGAACACTTGTTTTCACCATACCAGATGAAATACTTAAAGAGTAGAGTTTATGTTCGCGGGTATGAACATGTTTTGGGCTCGACTCAGAGTCATTTTAGCTGAAGCCACGAGGCAAGAGTTAAAATGAATCTGAGAAGGGCCAAAACATATCAATACCCAAGAACATGAACGTTGTTTCTATTATAATTACTTTGGATGGAATTGAAATATAATAACTAAAAATGACAACAAAACAGTCGGAAGAATTACGCGACAATGTGAGCATTTTAACCCGTCAAAATCTCCACTGTAGCCTGCAAAATGCGCTACAATGCCTTACCAAGTGATAATATTATTTAGTAGCTTTTATTTGAATGGCAATGCACCAGGGTTTTATCGTCAGTGGACTAAAAGTTACAACCACTTTGTTCTGTAAAAATAACGAGTGCCACAAGAAAATAATATGCAGAAGCTTTCATTGGAATAATCGTGCGTTGGGGTTTCATTTACAGACATAACGTTTCCTTACAAACAGTTTCCACGCAGCATTTGCTTTTTGTATACAAACGCAAACATTATACCCTCGTCATAACATTGACCACAACAATACTATAACCAAATGACCACAATCGATTCACCGAATAGAGGAGGGCCGCATGCGTTTTCCTATTTAAAACGGTTAGAGAAAACTTTCATTCGAACTGCACATACAATCTAAAATATTTTTTGAAAAAAGCCAACAAGGCTAAGTAGTACAAGAATGTATTTTATCTGAGGTATTTCAAAATGCTGTCTCTCTGTCTAGTCCTACAAACTTTTGCATTTGAACTACACAAACATTCCGTCGAATAAGACGAGACGAGCAAACCGAGAAGAAAGGTCCATAAGTGTAAGAGCATTTTATTTGTAAAATCTTATTATCATTTCGTTTTTATCATACCATAAGCCTAGTGAACCCTTTTAAAATTCTTTGAGGTTTCTTCAGCTGGCACGCAAACCTAAGCAAGTCTTTCCGTGCATAATTGAGTAAACTATTTCTTTTATTTTGAGTCTGCGCGACAAGCCAAGTGTGTTACTTTGTAGTATTTACACCTCAGAGCTCTGGCCCAACTCCTCAATTTTATTGTTTTCATAGTTGTTTTTTCAAACAACAGTAATTACACGAAAACTTATTTGACCTTAGGGCGCGATCTTGTGGAATTATTCAATTGTGTGTCTGAACAACTCCAAGCGTTTTATTTTTATACTTTCCTGCTGTGAAAGTAAGATTCTTTTGATCTGTCGTTATCGAAAAAGAAAACATGGACAGAAATATTTCCGTTGAATGGAAATCCTATCACTATGCGATTGGAATATTTGAAATAGCCTGAACGTACAGTTAGTTACGTATTATTTGTGTAATTCGGACAATCTTTCGTGGAAATAATTGGTGCAATGTGTTGATTTGGTTCATATCTTGTTTCTTTACCTAGTAAAGTTGCGATAGCATTTCGCCATTCCCTTATTACAGATTACTCAAGACATTTCTAAGGCAAGCGTTCTCTTGGCCATAAATGTCAGTGTGAACATCACGTTTGAGTGAACCTCCGGGCACGAAAACGAAGAAATTTTTTTAAAGGTGCAGAATTGTCAGCAGTTATTAATTTCGATCGCTCATGGGCATTCCAAGTGTTTGTTTTTCTTTTGACTAATTATAGATAGGAAAAAACCAAGATGTCTGGGAAGTTTGACCTTTGGGTTCATTAAATAATAATAATAACCGGTAGATTCTCAAGTGGACAATTGATGAGAATTAGGAAATGATCAGTGAAAGTTAGGGCTACTTCTTTCACGTAACTTTTAATTCGCACAACAGACATCAAACGTTATTTATTTGGGAGAAATGGTGTTTTGATACGTTGATTGACAAGGTCTAATTAAATTGACCTTGAAACGGAAACATTTTTCCGTGTTAGTGCCGCGTTCGTGAATAATGGGTCAAATCGGAACAGGGAGGGGAGGGTGAGGACGTTACGCTTTCATACCTTCCCCTCTGCCGCTCTTTTGATCTCTTTTTCCGATCGTTTTTAAGGATAATAGCAGCGTAATGATTGAGAAGTGTTCGCAATTTTCTGGCATTCCTCATGAAGTTCTCGCTCTTGACCCTCACCTTTCGCACCCCTACCGTATTCCTCTCACCATCCCCCTCCCGGGCTGTCCCCCGACTCCTTCCTTTTGCCTTATTGATTCAACTCAGCCCCCTATATTCGAAACAAGACGCTTATTGGGCACAGGGCACTTATTCTCTTTTAAGAAACAGCAGAATGCGTTAAACAGAGCTTAATAGGATCAAGAAAACTGGAAAACGGAATCACTTTCCCAGGATCCTTTCTGGCTAAAAAGGAAATACCAAGCAATCGCCGCAAAATTTTAAGACGGTATCATTCGTTTGAAGGAACTGTGCTCTCACTTGAACATATAGTTGGAGAGACTGAGACGAAGAACACTGTTTTTGTAATGAGGCAATAAGTGAGCAATCAAACGAAGATGAACCACAGTTGATCTCATTGTCACAGTACTATCACTGAAACAGGATAGGGGCGCCTATTGGTATAGTGCGCGTATTTAGGAATTTAATGTATTCGCCACGGGAATGGTAGGAGAAAGGAACAGAACTTTCGTCCCAATTGACACTTAACCTCTTTGTTACCCACCATCCCACCCCGGGGATTCACATTCACTACACAGTAATCTCGTGCTTGGGAAATTAACGTCTCCTACCCCTAACCCTGCAGGAGACGGGGCCTACGGCTTATTCGTCCTTATCCGAGAAGACTAGAATATCTAACCATTTCTTGATGTTATAGAAAGGTAGCAAATTCTCCTCAGTTATTTTAGACCATGAGTATTGGTCCGGCCGGGGCTCGAACCCTCGACCTCCCGCACAACATAATCCGGCGCTCTAATCAATTGAGCTAATCAGGTGCGGTTGTACTGTTGTTAACCCAATGGAGGCGCTTATTGAGGAATTACTCACTTTTCGTTCTCTTTTAGGTTTTTTTATTTATTTATTTTAAGGATTATTAGATACCTTCTGTTTTACATCCGTTACGTTGATATCTGTGCGTAATACATCCAACAGACCTTGGACGAGGAAAGTTTGGATTATGGAATATCATGTGAAAATACTTCAGTACTTAAACCGTTTTTGTCGTGTTTGCCAGCTGAACGTGAGAGGTCACAGAAATTTCGTTATCGAGTTAAGATTTGCCCTCAAATATCTACGCGTTCCGCGAAAAATTTGTGGTATTTGCTTCTCTCGTTCTGCCAACATTTTTCCGAATTCATGCTAACTCCCTTGGCCTTCCAGATTTAATTAGTACTAATACTGAGCTGTGGTGGTTAAAGGACAATGAACTCACGTATTTTGTAAGTAACCTGATTGTCGTTCACTATATTGTTATTTGCCTCTAGATCTTTTTTGGTTCCAACACGATCAATATGTTATTGGTTATACATGTAAATGTGTCTCTAGCACGTCTTTGACTTTCGTCCTAAAGTCTTCGACATGCAATGCAAAATTGCTGGTGTTTCTCGGGTAAAATAACCAATCTACATAAAGAAAAACTGAAATGTTTTGATGTTTGTAAACTTTAGAGGGTCTTAGGAAACTTTGTAAGAATTTCTTCACAACAGAAAGAATAGATTCAACCTCAACCTTGCCTTTTTTTGAAACAGATGAAAAGCAAAATGTCTGTGCAGTTTCGTTATAGGTGTTATTCTTTACCAGTTGCCTTTAAGTGTAAAAGCTTTCAAGTGAAAACTACTCAGCAGTCCTTTCATTTGTTACTCTTATGTTTTTATATGTTGCACAAGGTGATTCTAACTTTTGGATAAAATGTTTGTATGACCATTCAAATGAAAGCTTTCATGGAGCATTTTATCTGTTTGTGTGTGTGTGTGTGTGTGTGCGCGCGCGTGTGCGTGTGCGTGTGCGTGTGCGCGCGTGTGTGTGGTCTCTGAGAATTCCTGTCTTTGAAATTTTGCACCAAAGTCAGTATCTGGGCAATTGCAGACCCACCCCTCCCCTAACCCAACAACAGCCGAATGATAATAAATCAAGGTGAATGTTGGGTCGTGATCCGAAATTTTTATTATGCTTCAATTACGAAAATATATCTTATTTTGGCAAAGGTCCCCCAGAGTACGTGGCTGGACCTGTGAATGGGCACTTGTACGCTCAGGTGGATAAAGCATTCAAGAAGAAATTGCGGTCCATGAGCTTGGACAGTGGTGCCCGGTCAAGAGCAGCAGATCACTTGAACTTCTTTGAAAACAGAGCAAACACTTTAAATCGAAGAAACGCGCACGGATTTCGAAACAGGGAAAATGAGGATTTTGGATTGACTCAACCCAGTCTTCAGCACAACACTAGCAAAATGCAGCATTCAAGTGGGGACTGCCGGAATAGCGAGGTGAAATCGATTGATAGGCTTCTGCAAGAGTTGGGGGAATGTTCAGAAATTTTGGATTCAACTTTACAGCAGGCTCGATCTAGTTCGAGGGGAGTGCAGTCATCAAGTGTGGTCAACGGAGGATCAAGGTCTGCTATTCCACCTGGGCCCCCTGTGCGCCAAAAGGCGAGTTTTGAAGTTGGTCAGCGGTACAGCAAGAGTGGTTTAATAGGAGAACCACTTCTTCAAAATGGAATCAGTGCTGTTAGGTACAACCAAAGTAATAGACCCTCTTTTGGAACAACGCAAACACGAGTCCCCATCAAACCACCGCCATATTCACAAAATAGCTCGTGGAATGGTGATGTTAACACTGCGCAGATGTCGAATGGATACTCTGACGGAGAGGCACATTCGGTGGTCTTACACGAAGCGCCTCTACCTAAAATATCCCCGCCCATGTGTCCATTGTCGCCGACATATTTCGCCACCACTGAAATGATGCCAAGGACGATAAAAGCTAAAACTGTTACTCATACTACTGTTGGATATAACTTTGTTCCAAACAGTGGTGACCATTTAGACGGTTCTGGTAGGAATGAGGATGTTTCCGTCACCAGCCAATGGACGACTTCTAATTCTGGTAAGCTAAGACAAGGTCCTAAAACCTTTGATTTCAATAACAATGATGATAAAGTATCCGACGTCGAAGACTTTTTTGATTTAGAAGGGCGAAAAACGATTCAGGACTCTGAAACGCTTCCAGAGAAGGGAAATGTGCGCTCGAAAATCGCTCTCCTCAGCGATATGTTCCAACCTGATAGAGTGCGTCCTCCGCCACATCAAAATATCAAGGGCCATATCATACCCATGCCGGGTCTTGCTTGCTTGTCAGCAACAGAAGTGTCCAAAGAGATTTCGAATTACAACGCCAAGTCTCTGGCGCCAGGAGAAATAAGCCACTCGTCCGGAACTTTGTACATCAGTGGCGCCCCGCCCAAAAGGATTGTCGAACAAACCAAGCATGTGGAGGAACCGCCCAAAGAGACAGATCTAACGGGATTCCAAGAGTCACGTTTACCTCCCGCGCGTGACTATCTTATTCACAAGACAGGTACTTCACGTTTTTAATTGTCATGCAACCAAGCATTTGCATCGCGCAATTTCATCGGTCATAACGCCTCACAATCTTTCACTGTCCTTTGCACTTTCGTAAAAGAATTTCTTACAGAGAGCGACTTATCACGTCCACGTCAATGTTTCTATGATTGTCGCCTCTGCTAACGCGTCATGCAATCCATCTATCGTTTTCTTGTCACGTTACCCCTGATCATTGGTGAACAATGATCTCTCTGACTTACCTCATCGTTTCTAAAACAAAATTGTCGCCTAAAATCGCTTTTTACACTTTTTTGCCGTCTAATACACCTTGAGAGACTTTATTTCCAAAAGGATAGGTCCTCTTTATCCTATTAACTGCTAATTCTAAACTATTGCAATGTTTTATTTACTGTTCATTATACCTAACAAATGGTGGAGTGTATGACACTGATCTATCGTAATTGCTTTGTGGTCTACTTTTACGCCGTTGCCTGGCAACGAAACTTTCTGTTAAGGATACGGTGTATACTGAGAAAATACGGGGAACGATTTGTTAGTTTATTTATATTAAAGCAGACCTCACGTATCCGTGTTTACCAGTATTACCAGTGAACCTGTGGTGTTGTTGAAAAAGTTACCAAACCTTTAATTAATTACCAAAGCTTTCTTGTACCTTCCATCGTGCCAAAGTATTTCGCTGATAACTAACAACAATAGAAAAATTTCTGTGGCACATCTCCTTTAAAGGGACAAACTTTGGCCCCACCTGGAACAAGTACACGTATCGCTATGTAAAGTATATTTTAGTCATTTTGAAAAGACATAGTCAAGAGGACACCATTCCTAGTCTTAGGGTTTCTCCTGAACCAAGGTACGACTGTATAATATTGCACGAAGTATTTTCTTGATTGAGGAGTGAACTTATTATCTTTCCTTCGTTTAAGACTTCATGGATCATCACCACGTACTTGACAAGTCCCCTCGCAGCAGTATTGACGGTATTAGTTTGGATGAAGGTGTCGAATCCAAAGGATCTATCGATGAACAGACCAATCTCGGAACCTCACCATCTGCGTAAGTTAACATTCTGCCAGAGATTTCTGAGAATTATCGAATCTGTTGCACAGAGTTTTGTTTTGAGCAAATATGGATATAAATCTTGTAACCAAAGCTCTTTCATCTTGAGAAAAAAAATTGTCTTTCTGTTTGAATCCACCTCCTCCCCCCACCCCCCTCCCCCGTGCCATACCCTCTTCTCTGCCTCCCCTCCGTCTATCCTCTTTCTCTCTCCTGGGTGTCATGTTTCATCCCTCCCTCTCTCTCTCTATTTTCTTCCTTCGCGGCTTGTTCCTCGTTTCTTCCTACTGGCTGCTCCCTCCTACCACCTAACCTCATTCTCTGACCTCAGCAGCAGTGATGGTCACACGGACTCGGCTTTTGGCGAATCAATCGTCAGTACCTCGTCAGTCTCTACGCCCGTTGCTGGTCATTCGTCAAACCGGTTTAATACGGTAGCAACCACGTCTATGAACCAAGAGGGAGAGGAGGCTGTAGCCAACCTGGTCAGTGAACAGTCGAGTTCCAGTAATCTCCTGGAAAGTGCTGCTGTACATTTGCAACAGGCACGGGAGGATGAAGAAGCTGGATACGCCAGACTGGAAGATATACAGGCCGCTAAGAAGACACAGGAGAGGTATGGCAGCTCTCTCCAACATTTCTAGTTATTTAGCTCATTCCTAAGGCTATCAACACGCCCGAAAGTGGAAGGTAGAAATGAAATATTTGACAGCTAGGTTATCGTGGACGCCTTTACTCTCCGTCGGATTAAACGCGAGACTTGGAACTATTCGGCTCAAGTGTCCTGCAGGCGCTCCGTGAAATTAGCACGAACCTTAGAGCAACCATGGTAAAATGAGATGCAATTAGCCGGCTAAAGATGGCAGACAAGCCGGCGGTTTTGGCCGGTCATCGCCTCCCTATTGACAGTGTTCTTGTTTTTTAGTCCTGGAGATGGTGTTGCCATGGAGACTCAGGCCGCCCCAGAGGAGGCAAGCACATCTGCTACCCCTGTAGTTGAGCCAATTGTGGAACAGATTCAAATCACCAAAACAGCCAGTGATGTCGAAGCTATTAAAGACATTTTATCAGAGATGGCGGACATGGGGTGAGAGCTTGGACAATGGCGATTTTTTTAATTAATAGAAGATGGCGCTGTAGCGATAGAAGCTCATTCCTGGAATAAACTAGATAACAACAATTTTTAAGCTCTGTTGAGATCTAGAACACAATTATTTAGAAAACGTTGGTTTCGTTTGTTGGCATCCATACTCTGACATATGCTACCCGCTCGCTTATAAACTCATCTGATATGTTTTCCCTTTTCAATAGTATCAACGGCCCACAACTTCCCCAACTTAGTCGCTCCAGTACACCACAGAGCCTCAAGAGTAGAGGTATTATCGAAAGGGGTAGGAGTCCTTTGCTCTCTGATGGATCTGGGTCCTTTGAAAATGCAGTACAGCGAAAGAAATCTCATCCTGTCTCAGATAAAGGCTATGGTTCTACAAACAGCGTATCGTCTGGTTCATCGAATGACAGTAAGTGTTACGTACTACCTTCATTACCACCATACTCAGTCCGTGAATAAAACAATAAAACAAAGACTGACAAAATTGAAAACTCCAAGAATTGTAAAGAAAATCGCCTTTTCGCTTCAGCATGAAATTATCGTGCGTTCTATTTTTTAGATGTGTTCCTTCCGGAGAGCCCAAAGATTCCAGGATTAAAATTTGACAGAGACACGTCAGAGTTTTGGTATAAGCCAACCATTTCAAGGAATGATGGTATGATAATACTTCCTTTCAATTACTATTAATAGGGACTTTAAGACGGCTACGGCAACGAGAACGTGGAAAAACAATAGATCTAATTGGCAGAACAATAGCCCAGCACGTGCGTTTTCAAACTTTGTACATTTCTTAGCCGTCCTTTACAAAACAACAACGTGAAATCACCAAAATTTGCGTCGTCTGTGAAGCTAAACCGCGGCGGCAAGTTTTTTTAATTTACATTTGGAACTCAACGCTACTTTTATGCGTTATGTTGAGTTTGAGGTCTGGCGCCCTATGAGACGGTAAACACATCCCGCCATTTTCGAAATTCTAACTAAAAGTAGAAACTCATTTTTTAATCGACGTCTTCCGTGGCGTTGCTGTCCTGACTGCTTAAAGTCCCTATTATCAAACACAGACTACGATGGCTACACAGTTCATTGACTAGCAGAACGAGACGCTTTGACGCGTTGACTAGTTCAAAACTGGCTGAGGGTCAGAGCAATCTGAAACCCGATGCACTGAAACAGGTAAGACTAACTTGTCAGGGGCGTGTTTTCTACGGTAATTACCCATCATCACTCTAGGTGATCATTGTGCATTTGGTAGACAAAGGCCTCATACTGTACGGGAGATTCTGTTTCTTGCATTAGTTGTTGGCGCGCTGGTTTGCGCACGGACAGATCCTGGCCGCGTCACTGTGTCAAGTGTTAAATACTTCGGACTCTCATTGCCCCTCTCGTCTCAGGAGTATGAATAGGAAGGAACTGATAGGCTGTCAGGGAACTTGTCAAAGTCTGTTCCCTGGGGTTTCCCTGCGATAGATTAACTTCTTATCTCCCGAGAATTAGCAATACCTCTTGTACACCTTAGCATCAGTATGCATATTCTCCATGCTGTTCTCTATACGTTTTCTACGGTGCTGACAAGGAGAATTTGTTGAACAATCCAGAGCTTCACATTAGGCGATTGACCTACAGTTTTGATTCAGCAGTGAGACTGGGAGGAGAAATTAGATGCTAGTCAGTCTAATGGGTTCAAAAGTTGTATTACTGACGCGGGCGACTAATTCTAATAAGCACAATTTTAGGCTCATCCTCGGTGTAAAAACCTGTGAAGCTCACGAGTGACGTAAAACAAAGACAGTAAAACATTTTTAACAATAGCGTACAGCAAAACAATACCTAATGAAACAAAGAAAACCTCGTCAGGTTTTTACACCGAGGATGACCCCAATTTTAACGCGGCGAAACGGCACGACACGAAGCAACACGGTTAAAACTACAAATAAAACAGCAAACGAAAACCCATTATAATATAAACTAAACTAAATACCCAAGGAAAGCTACAAAGAAAACGACGACGAAAACTGCACAATACAAACTTACATTTGTTGCGATGTTGTGAATCCTGCCTAGTGGTGAACAAGCTGCACGAAGCGAAAAGAACGAATACGCAAACTACACTTGACAAAACTGCACTGGAAAAAACTGCACCAATGATGAAAAATACAATACGGTTTAAATACATGCTACGTAACGTAATGACACAAAGAAAGCGCACGCAAAACTTTACTACAATTAACACTACTGCACAAGAAACAATAGACAAAAAATCATGCGTAGCGATCTACAAGTTGACTTGTGTGAGCCTACTGTGATGAGTTCATAACAGTTTTTCTTCTTTCCTTTTTCTTTAGCAAACGATATCCTAAAAGACTCAGAACCAGGCTCTTTTATCATCCGGGATAGCCAGTCCTTCCCTGGAGCCTTTGGTTTAGCTGTGAAGGTCGCAGTGCCACCCGCGCATGTCCTTCAGGGACTTCAAGGAGACCTTAGTAAGTAGGAACACTCACATGTGAAAGACTTGATTAATTTACTTGCCACAACTTCGAAGAATTCGTTTGAGAATTTCACAAAGTTTTAATCTTTTTCTTCTTCCCTTTCACAATTTATCAAACAGGTTACTCCCGTAGATCCTTTTTTCCAACAGCTCATAATTGTACGCTTGTTTTGTCCTTTGATTGTGTACCTTCAGGTGGCCACTGAAATAAGTACCGCTGTTAGGCGCCTTTATTTTGCTTCTTTAAGAGACTCTTAGTTATCTGCTCCTCTAGTTCCGTTTTGTTTCAGTACAACGTAAAACGGGACAGTTTGTCGGTGCGATTTCGAGAGATGAACAAACTTTTTTCTTCTTTCAGCAAAAGTCGATCTCGACAATGAACTTGTGCGGCACTTTCTTATCGAAACAACCAAGAAAGGCGTTCGGTTGAAAGGCTACAACGATGAACCCATTTTTGGTAAGTACTTAAGGCCAAAACTTGCATTTCACCGGCCCGATATCGCAGATATGATATTTATAGATTTAATACCATGCTATTTGCTTATCTTTATAGGCAGTCTGGCTGCTTTCGTATATCAACACTCAATTACACCTTTGGCTTTACCTATCAGACTTAAAATGCCCGACCGTGGTAAGTTGTTTCTCTTTTCCCCTTTTTCGCATTCCCGGAAAAAGTCCTTTACTTTAAGTTAGTTCTATTAAATTTTCAGTATGTCGTTTTGATGAAAACAAACTCAGGCTTGCTAAAACTTGTTTAACCTTGGCTTTCACCACCCGTCTTCCCAACAACCATCGATGTCTTCTTCGAGAGGCCATGTATGTAAATCTGTGTGGTTTCTAATGCTACAAAATTTACAATCCAGTGGCCACCGATTGCTTCTAATTTCGGAACCATGACATTTTTACATTGATAAATATTCGCTATGTTGACAATCATCAAATCTTATTTTTTAGACCTCTCAGCTGGAGATAAGGACCAGTCTCTTGACAAAGAGGACGGCCAAAACTGGCCGAAAGGCGCTGGTATGATACTCGAATCATAACTGATATGTATGGCTTGATTTGCGAGACGATTGACCTAATTATGCTTCATAAGTTTGATCGATCTCTGAATGTCTCGCCTTCCTACAGGTGATTATTTTACAGTCTAGCCTCGTGGCAGAGTGGCTTTAAAACCGGAAGATTCCTAAGCAGAGCATTTTTCCTTCTCATTCTGTGAGAGTTACTTGAACCGTTTTTTCTAACAAGAACACAACACGGCCGGACTGGGTTCGATCCCAGGCCGCTGCATGCGCAATCTCGAGATCTTTGTGTCGCGTGGCTACATTATCAGATGTTAAGTAATTTTCAATTGTTTTTCAGTCGGTTCCCTGATGTATCTCGGACAGTGCGAGGTGGAAATGCTGACTGGTGCCAGCGCTATACAGCGAACTGTTGAATTTCTGTCGACGGAAGAGGCTGCCAAGAAATTCACGACAGTCAGCTTCAAGGTTACACAAGAGGGAATGACTGTTACAGATACTGAACGGAAGTAAGAAACGCTGCATTTAAAAAATTAGAACCACACTACACAGCATTACCACGTGATTGTACTGTTCAGTAGCTTTTATTTTAACCTTTAAATTCCTACGAGTGACCAAGACAGAATTTCTCCTCACAATATCAAAACAATATCAAGCAGACAAGTGGTGAGAATAAATTCTTCGAACTTAAATCATAGCAATTGTATGGCAGACGGTAGGGAGAATTGCTTATGAGATCTCGGGAGTGAAAGAGTTAATGGCCATCCACTGACTTCAAAGTTAAAACCGCTGTGCATCAGGATAAACATGATTAAAGATTAGATCATTGGATACTGCAACTCAAGAGTTTACATTGGCCTAGCCACCATGGTTTATCAGCCATTATGGCATGCGCGGGCATGAGAACGAGTTAAACCGAAAGTGTTTTTGTACATTTTAACATTCCGTTTGTATCTTACAAAATAAAGTAGGGAAGATTTATTCATATTTTGGGGCGTTTTTAACGAAACAGTCATTCGACTCGCGCTCGTTGGATATGAGATGATTTTAATCAACTCGGCCGTACGGGCCTCGTTGGCTATCTATCATCTCATATCCAACGCGCGCTCGAGGAATAATTGTTAAGTACGGTATTAAAATAATGCCCAGTAGCTTTCGCTGGAATGGTTACACACTGGACAAGTTTTTAGATAGCTTCTCTTGTTTTTGTTTCAGAGTTTTCTTCCGGCAGCATTTCCACATGAATTCAATTCTCTATTGCGGAATAGATCCCAGCGACAAAAGGTGAGAAACCAAGCATTAGGTTTTTTAGGATTTTTACAATAAATGATTTGAACCTGCGCGTAACATTTGCTTGTGTAGTCTGGTCATCCGGTGAGGTTGGGGGTAGTTCTATGCGCATTGGAACTGTAGCTCCTTTTAGTGAAGTTGCCGCAGTCGATGTAGTTTAGTGCAGTTGCAGTAGTTTGTCGTGATGCTTTAAATTACGAAGCTGCGGTAGTTTGTCAGGTTGGTTGAATTCATGTCGTGTAGAGCAGTTGTGGTAGTTAGTAAAGGTGGCGTCTTTGCAGCTGTTACTGGTTTTGGTGTGGTTCGAGGTGTTAGTGTTGTTTAAACTACTAAACACACCTGGTGTTCCTGTGTTTTCTTTCAGGTGGGATTTGAAGACGCCTACATACAGTGGAAAGTCAAAGTAAGTCACGCATGCCGAAAAACAAATAATTGAGTTACGCCAGGATCATTGGGATGGAATGGGGGAGGTTTGTTCTGTACGTGAGATTTCTGAGTTTGTGCTGGAATGTTGGGCTAGCCCTTGGCATATGGTTATAGATGAGCTGAAGAGGCAAAGATGTATCGCGAGGGTGAGAGTGGCCAATCGCAAAAGGGAAAGGGGAAGGGGAAGTTGTGGAGGAAGAGGGGGGGGGGCATCGACAGGCTTAGCGAACAGACCTTTGCGGAAAGACTTTTGCAGACAATTTCAGTGTTATCGTGACAAACATCCTAAGGCGGCACTTTCATCTCACCAAATAAAATTAAATGCTTTTTCGTTCAATTTCTCCTTTTTATCTTTTTCGCAGATCATTTGGTCTTGTGATGCGGAAAACTGGAGGAGTACACAATGAATGCCATTTATTCGGAGAAATTTCTAAGGACTGGCCAGCCAGCATCCTCGTTAATATACTTAACAGGTTTATGAATTCGTCCACGTAACGCAACACAATGTAGTGTAACGCAACGCCGAGTTCACCAATGGAATATAATGGTCACAGAGAAAGGGGTCAGATTCATGTAATATCAGATGTCAGAGGAAACGTCAAAAAAGTCCTAAAGAATTGTTAAATCTGACTCGGAAAAAAGTCTGCAAACGTTGCCGAATCGGAAAACAATTGTTCGAGCTATCGAATTAGTTACACTGTGGACTCGGATCATTATCGGAAGCTTCGGAAGTCTTGGCTACGGCTTGGTCGTCTCCGAACAATCATCGTAATTTCGAGCTGCTTAATGCTCCAGGGAATATTATTGGAATGTAAAGAGGATAAAAGGACAAAGTTAATGATACATTAAAGTTATAGAAAGATAGATTTTTGATAATGGTAAGCTGGAATTACAAGAAATGAATAGAATTTTATAAATGATATATTTACGTATACTGTTATGGATGAAATAATGCCAAATTGGCCCATGGTACATGTAATCTCCTTCTTGGGGAAGATATAAGCCTCAGAAACAAATATGATTATATACAGTTAGACTTCAAGAAGAAATCCTCTTCTGTAGTTGATAAGGTGAGCGAATAGAAGAGTAGCGCCGCGCGTAAACTGGAAACGAAAAAAAGGAGAATGGGCGGATATTGTTTCTTTTCGTTTGCTCTTTTTTTTTCTTTTTCCTTTCTCATTTTTGTCTCTTGTTTGCTCGAAGGATTAATCTGAGAAAGGTGAACTGTTCATGGCTTAATATAGTGTAGAATTCTGCGGTTTAAGACATAAGTCCGTTTGCTGGAATTTTTTTCCATTCGAAAGGAGTTGTTGACGAAAGAAGAAGAAAATAACCGACCTTCTAAATTCTTTTGGGCGTAAAAGGGGTCGTATTGTAGGGTTCCAACATGTATTTCTTGGTTTTAAATGCTTTATGTTTGCTTTGGAATAGAGGAAAAGTTGAGATCGTTGCCCCCTCCCCCCCCCATGATATACAAAGTGAACAGTAACGCAAAGAAGTAAACTTTACATGTAGTTTGTGTTAGTTATAATACAGACTGAGGGCAGCGCGCAGTGCGAATATCTTGTTTGCTGTATTACAACTCCTTTAAGCACTGGTCAATCAGCCGAAAACTCATAAAGAAGCCAAATACATTTAATTCCATTTTGTGCCTTGAAATACGGTAGTTATTCATGTTTTGTTCAATCTCCTTCCGGGATCGCGCCTAAAACGAGGGTGTACACTACCTGATGGACAACTTGCAAAACAGCCTCGAAAATAAAATTTCATCAACTTCTTCGTCAGTACCTTACTGAATTCTTTTACATTTTGTTTCTTTTCTTTTTCACAAGAATTCCCAGAAAACTTCAATGAATTTACAGGAGGGTCTCAATGGGGGTGATGGCCAGCTAACGGTTAATTCCTTTTTCACGACGAACTTATTTTACGATTAACGGTTAAAATTTGTCAATTTTTATTCCTAACGGCTATCTTTTTTCTTCTTTTTTGCCCTTTTAACAAACAACCTCAGTGAGAGCCTCTTGTAGCGCCCCAAGTACTTGGCTTGTTCACTTGTTACGATTATAAGATTTGTTTATTAATATCTTTCGAAAGTTAACCTTTCTGAGAAAAGGAATCATATTTACATATTTTAGAAGTAAGCGTAGAATGGAACTGTCTTGCTTAGTGAAACTTTGTTAAAAAATTTCAGGATTAAAAACCAGCGCCGAATATTTTTCGTCAAAAATGGCGTTTTTATACCTATACATGTATCTTGTAAATATAGAAAATATTGAAATGGTTCAGTACCTAATATTTTTATTATCATTGGTTGTAAGTTTTTATTGACTTTAATATATACAGTAATTGATCCAAAAAGTATCCGATATGTTCTTCAGAGGAACAACGTACATGAAAAAATTACGCACTTCTGATTGGCTGAAGACGAGTGCATTCTCATGCAAAACGAGTGCAGAGTCGTACCCCGAGCGCAAATAATAAGTAGTGCGCGCTGTCAAAATTTCGTCGGTTTAGCTTGACTCTGTAATGTTCTTTCACTGACATTATTAACAAGTACTAACAGGATTTCTCTTGCAGTTTGGTCTAATAGACGCTTGTGAATTCTTCAAAGACTACAAATTGCACTTACCCTACGGCCTCGAGCAATTTTGTTGTCTTTGAAAAATTAACTCGTGCTTATCAACACCAAATTGCAAGAGAAGTCATGTTATTACCTATACTTAATGAGATGCATTTCCCTCAACTAGAAGGCACCCCATAAAATTCTGAATCGAGCACCATGCCGAAAAGAGCACGATGCATAAATCATGATTGATATTGCAACTGTTAGTCAATGTCTGTCACGTAAGATAGGGCTGTTTGTTTTACACAAGGTGAAGCCTTGTTGAACTGCACTCACAGTAAACAGTCCTTTTGTTCATGCTCTTCTTACAATACAATACATATATCTTATTAACCAAGCGCGAGGGCCGTACTGGGAGAATATCAGCCCGAGGTCTTGACAGTACCGACCGAGCGCAGCGAGGTCCGTACAAAAAAGACCGAGGGCTGATATTCTTCCAGTACGGTCCCGAGCAAGCTTGGTTAATAAGAGATTTATTATACGACTGAAGTTCAAACGGACAGAAGTGCGGCATCATTCGGGACAGTGCCCGGTCCAATACTTAGAGAATATTGGACCGGCAATAGAGCATTTTGATAGGTTGATTTTAGTTATTGGCCCTCTGACTGCCCGAGTCGTGTAATAAAATACAATACAATGTTCTTTATTTCAAGAAGGTAAATACATGATTAACCCAGTAAAGAGTTTTCTAACACATGGCCCTCTGTAATACAGAACAAAAATATATACAATAAAATTCGAAAAATACATACATACAGTAATTAATTGAATTTAACATTTAAAATGAAGTGTAAAAAAAATACAATCAAAACGTCTAATTAGCATACGATAAACAATATATCGCAACAAACTCGGACGATCAGGAGAAATAGCAATTGCAGTAAAGCAAGAAACGGTATGCAAAGCAGCAAAGTTCTTCGAGATGGGCAACGGAATTGAGTTTTTGAATGAAAAGTTAGCGTAGCTTGCGCTTAAAAAAAGCAGAGAAAGAAATAGGAGCATTAGGCGAAACAGGAGGAGTTCTTACAAGCTGTTTGACCTCAAGAGGTAGTGCATCGAAAAGAATAGCAGCTACAAAGGAGAACATGCACTTGCCGGAGTTTGTTCGGGGCTGAGGGACCACTAAGTTTCCCGATGCAGCACCTCTGGTCATATGAGCACTGTTTGCAGATACAAAGGAGAATTCTCTTTAAGACATAAAGGGGCTTCAGAATTAACAAGAATAGAAAATAGTAGCTGGAGTTTTTTGTACTTAATAATGTCGCAAACAGGAATCCAGTGGAGTGTAGAAAATAACGAGACGGATGGAGTAGAACGGTCGGCTTGAAGTATTATTCTGGCAGCACGTTTTTTAGAACGAAGGAGGACGAGGAGAAGTGTTTGAGAGCAGGTACCCCAGACAGCAGAGCAGTAAACAAGCCGGCTATGAATGCAGGCATTATAATAGTGTAGGGACCCCACCTGGGTAAGATATGGTTGAATTCTGCGTAGCAAGGTGATGCGGCTGTTGAGTTTTTTACACAGGGTCTCAATGTGCTCTTCCCAGGAGAGGGTGTGGTGGCTGAATTCTGATTTTGGACACTAGTGGTTGATTGTGGATTATGGACACCAGTGGCCAATTTCGAAACTTGGACACTAGTGGCTGATTTGGGATTTTGGACACTGGTGGCCATTTTCCGATTTTGGACATGTGGCTGATTTCTGAAATGGACACTATTGGCTGATTTTTGACACTAGTGGCTGATTTGAGATGTTGGACACCAGTGGCTGATTTCCAAATTTGGACACTAGTGGCTGATTTCAGATTTTGAACACTAGTGGCAATTTCTGATTTTGGAGACTAGTGGCTGAATTGGGATGTTGGACACTAGTGGCCGACTTTTAATTTCGAACGCTAATGGCTGATTTCCAATTTTGGACACTAGTGGCCAATTTTAGAATTAGGGCACTAGTGGCCAATTTTAGATTTTGAACACCAGTGACTGATTTCCGATTTTGAACACTAGTGGCCGATTTTTAATTTCGGACACTTAAGGCTGATTTGGGATTTTGGACACCAGTGGCTGATTTTCGATCTTGGACACTTGGCCGATTTTTGAATTTGGACACCATGGCTAATTTTCGATTTTGGATTTAATCATGGATGTCTGTTTTATTTACAGAAAAATTGTCTTGCACTGAGTAAAACTAGACAGTCATTTAAGACAAGTAATTACATGAAAATATACATAAGATAGTTAAAATTGCAATTTTCTTTGTACATGTGATTATCAAAGTAAACAAAACACTTGTAAGACTGCAAATCAAATGGTCAGGTGGTTGATGTGTCCCTGTTAAATAAACAAAAACAGTAAGTAGTAATTATCAGTTGGTGACAACACCAAAGAAGAGGAGGGCATTGGAGTCTATTAGAAACAACAAAACCGTAGGAAAAAACATCCAAAACCGCATTAAACTGCCAAAAAATTGGAAAAAAAAAATGAAAAACCACATACAAAACCATCAAAACCGATAAATGTTTATCTCAGTTATCTAATTGACCACTTTCATAAATGGCTGCCAGATTAATATTCTTTTGTTTAAGTTTAAATTAGCCCTTCTGGCCTCATTCTCCAGTACAAAATTCAAAAGAATACATTATCACAAGCAAGGCCAGAAGGGCTAATTTAAATTTAAACAAAAGAATATTAATCCGGCAGCCATTTATGAAAGTGTTTTGGATATATGAACAAAGTTGAAATGGTAAATTGGCCACCGCAGCGATTACAAAAGTTGACGTTTCGAGCGTTAGCCCTTCATCGGAGCTCCGACGAATATTGACTGGCAATAGACCATTTTGATTGGTTGATTTTAGTTATTGGCCCTCTGACTGCCCGAGTCGTGTAATGATGATCTCTATCTCACAACAAGATTACCTTCAGCCTCACTCCAAATCAAAGGCTTGTTACTGAGTGGACAACTGTAAAATGATTCATTATAGGATGGAAATCAAACTTAAAAAGACCTACCGGTTCTCCTCTCAAGCAACGCAAGCAAGATGCTGAGGATGAATCATATTGAGCTAATAACGATGGGACCTACAAAAGAAGCCCGCAGAATATTTATCCTTTGGTTTTCCAAGGTTCTGAGCCAATCAAATCACCAGTACCTACAATTGTAAATCTCACAATTTGATTGGCTATGATAAGAAACAAACCCCAGAGTTTATTGGGTTCAAAATGTGAACAAACCTAACTGAAGATTACATCAACCAAACAGGCAAAGTAACTTTGATGGAGAATTTTTCAAGTGCATCTAAAAACTAACAAAGTTGAAATGGTAAATTGGCCACCGTTACGATTATAAAAGCTGACGTTTCGAGCGTTAGCCCTTTGTCAGAGCGAATAGGGGAATTGCAGGTTGTGTGTGCTTTTAAAGGCAGAAAAAGGAGCTATGTGATTGGTGGGAACATGGCAACGAGAAAAACACGATTAGTGGAATGAAAAGCGTTCGTTGATACCTGCGGGATTTAGACTGCTGGTTTGAAAGGTGAGCTTTTGTTCAAGAGTTTTCCGGCTTTCCGTGCTACCTAAGTGTAAGGAAAGACCGCAGTTTGCCATGTGTTGCTTAGAATGGTTAGGTAAATTAAAATGTCTGGCGACTGGTTTCGATGTGTCCTTGTCATTCCTCTCCATGTCGCAAAGGTGTTCTCGGAATCGGTCACCTAGTCTTCTGCCTGTTTCGCCGATGTAAATCTTTTTGCAATAAGTGCAAGTTATGCAATAGATTACATTGGCGGAGGTGCACGTGAAGTGATCAGTGATCTTAATGGATCATTTGGGTCCCGATATTTTCTCAGTGCTGTGAATGAAAGGACACCTTTTACATCATGCACGAGCGCATTAAAAAGTGCCTGGTTGGTCATTAGTCTGAAAAGAACTTCTGAAGTTGGTCATTCCAGAAACAGGCAGAAGAGTAGGTGACCGATTCCGAGAACACCTTCGTGACGTGGAAAGGAATGACAAGGACACATCGAAACCAGTCGGTAGACATTTTAATTTACCTAATCATTCTAAGCAACATATGGCAATCTGCGGTCTTTCCTTACACTTAGGTAGCACGGAAAAAACTTAGGTAACTTAAAAACTTAGGTAAAAACTTAAAAAACTTAGGTAAAACTCTTGAACAAAAGCTCATCTCTCAAACCGGCAGTCTAAATCCCACAGGGATCATTCCACTAATTTCTTCGTGTTTTTCTCGTTGCCGTGTTTCCACCAATAACGTAGCTCCATTTTCCGCCTTTAAAAGCACACACAACCTGCAATTCCTCTATTCGCTCCGACGAAGGGCTAACGCTCGAAACGTCAGCTTTTGTAATCGTTACGGTGGCCAATTTACCATTTCAACTTTGTTGATATATTCAAATTATTTCGTTACCCCCACTGACGCAGCCCCAAACAGTTTCTTTAGAAACTATCAGCCTTTACTAAAAACTAACAGGTCATTTGTAACCATAACACTACATCTATTTGCAGGGATAAAATGACATGACAGTCAATAGATGTGTAATACACATACCTTTTAATGAGAAAGGGAAAAATTTCATGGCTTTTAGAGCATGTTTGCCCTTAAAAAAAAAACAAACAAAAAACAAATTCACTCACAGGAAAGGTCTGCTGATGGAGTTCTCTACTTCTTGTTGTTGTTGTTGATTCATATGAAATGTCCATTTCCTGAAATTGATTTTCTTGATTCACTAAGTTACAGTTGATGTCTTTGTGGCTGTGTCCATTGCATGTAGCAGTGTCAGGATAAAATGATGAAGAACAATTATCATCAGGTCGTTGATGTGAAATAACCACGGGCTGTGTGAAACTTAATGATCTGTTCTCTGATTCCACATTGCAGGCATTTTCCAGACTCCAACAACAGTCTTCAAGACATGGTCGCTTCTAAAGTAATAGCAGAGATCAATAATATTTTTAAAGTGGTTGTGAATCAGATAAACCCCTTACACTCTAACATTCATAGTCTCCATACTCTTTTCCACACGTTTCCTTTGGTGCTGACTAGAAGGACTTGTTTAACAATCAAAGCTTTTTAGGTTAGCGATCATATTCTTTATTCTCTAGATCCTAATGAAGGATTAAGCAGTATTACTGTAAGGAGGAGTTAGATGTTGGTCACCCTTCTGGTTTTAAGGGTTAATTTACCTTAGGAGGTCTTTCGATCTCCTTCGATCGATTTTCTTGTGGGATCGAAGGAAAAATCTCGAAGGAAAAAATTAAATCAATGACTTGATCCCTTTCATGCAGTTAACGTTAAAATGCTTCTGAAACCTGCAATATTTTGCCATTTTTCACAGCAAATGGCACTACTATGACTTAAAAAAACATGTTGAAAGCGAAAGTTGAGTAAATTAAAACAGAAAAAAGATTCTCAAAACACGTGTTGTAGCTATCCACCAACGTAAAATTTACCTTCAATCGTGTTTCTGAACCACTCTCTTGAGCCGCTTGTCGCTTTCTCGCAACGTTGCAAGAATTCACTACACCAGGAGAAAGTTCTACTTCCATGTTCAGATAGTTCAAAGGAAACTCAATTTGTATCACTTTTCAAATGCTTTGTTTACAAACCGTCCAAGTTCCGCGTCCCAAAGCCTGATGCATGATCGTTGCTCTAAAGAGATCATTCAGTGCAACATATATGAAGAAAACAAATTATTAATTTCCTCTCCAGTCCACCTCAAGCATTTAGGCAAAAATATGGCGGCCAGTTATCGATTTCGAAACCTGTTTGAAATTTATCTGTAGTTTTCATTCAGAAAAACTCGAACAACTCAAGTCGATGGTTTTTGTGATGCCTGAGAATGAAGAAAATTCTACATTTCACCTCTTACCTCATCATTAGAAACAAAATTTTAGCTTGAATAAGCTAAAACTGTTCTGAGATCACTTCCGGCTTCAGTGTGTATGTGAATAGTCGCAGGATTATTTTGTAACCTTGTGGTGAATGTTTGAAGGGAAATCCAGAATGTCTAAACGCAAAAGTGAAGATCCAGGTCTAGGTGGGATCAAGTATTTCAAAAAAGAACAAAGTAAGTATAACCTGTATTTTGAAAATGAGAGGGCTAAGAAATCTGTGATAATAATGAATTTCACGCTGGCGATCTTTAATTTACATAATATCGATAGCGCACCCCTTATTTAGGTAAAGCAAGTTTAAGCAACCACAGAAAACAGGGCCACTGAGTTCCACTTGGTCTGCAGTCTTTGAAGAGCAATGAGTGTTACAACAAAATTCAATGAGACGGAAATGATGGGCTACGAAATGAAACAATCCTAGAGGTCTTCCAATGACCAAAGCTAATCCCAGTGTTTCTGTTGAATGAATTAGGTGAGAATTCTAAGGAAAAATCCTGGATGTCTAAATGCAAAAATGAAGATCCAGGTCCAGGTGGGATCAAGTTTTTCAAAAAAGAAAAAAGTAAGTAATAAAATAGAGAGGGCTGAAAGAATAGGATAGTCTTTACATATAATCAATAACACACTCCTCATTTAGGTAAAGTAAGTTTGACAAACTACAAACAACAGGGCCACTGAGGTCTGCCTGGTCAGCAGTCTTTGAAGATCAATGAATGTTACAACACAATTCAATCCCATATATTTTATGGTTGTGCTACGAAATGGTACAATCTAAGGAGTCTTGCAAAGACCAAAGCAAATCTAAGTGTTTCTGTTGAATGAATCAGGGGAGAATACAGAGGGAGCAGCCTAAGAATAGAGAACCAATGAGGTCTCCTGGCCTGTTATTCCCAGCATTCCTCCTGGCGAGTAAGACTGTTAATCTTTGGCAGCCCTTTCATAAAGGAGGACAACACAGGGGTGTAGCCAGGATTTTTCAAGGGGAGAGGGCTCACAGAGGCTACGCACCATTTATACCGCTGCTGTCCCACGTTTATCAGTGGGCTCAGTCATATTATCATGGCATGAAGGTCCATATTAACTAAATACAAGAGCCGTTGACGAAACTACTTAAAAAAAAAACAAATTTTAAAAAAGTGGGCTTTTCAACAATGGCTTTTACGGCCAAGATATTGTCATGGCATTTTCGCCACCTGAATATTGTAGGTTGTTTGCTCTAAAGAAGGCCTACCAAGGGGGGGGGGGGGGGGATCACAGGACCCCCCTGGCTTCGCCCTTGCAATACTATTAATTTTCTCTCTTCGAGTATATGTTTAAACTACTAGAGGCTTCACATTTAAATTGTATTTATTTAATGACAAACTTTTGGATAGATTAAGAACTTTTGGCACCATGGTTGAGTGTAGTGAAGGGTAGACCCTCCATCGCAAAGTCTGGGGTTCTAATTATCTACAGGATTTGTTTCTTGATAGTACCCAGTCCAACTCCCTATAACCATGCTTGTAAAAAGCCAATTGGCTTTTCTCCTTTAGGGTGAGATTTTTGATCATGTCTGGTTTTTTTTTTTTTTTTTAATTTTAGTAAAGCAGGTTAAGTAAATACAAATGCGGCAAAAAGCTGATGTGGACCTGCCTAAAATAAATTATATAAAATAAAAGTAGGATGATGTAAAATGTATAAATAAAAACAAGTAAAAAATATACATAGTTATTGTGTTTATTAGCTATCATAGAAGCTTTAAATGAGAAATTATTAATGTCCTTGGAAAATCTTCGCAAAATTTGCTTGAATTTGTCTTTGCTCATCGACTCATTTATATTAATTAATCTATTAAGAAATGTCCAAATTGTTGGTCCTCTATATTGAATAGATTGTTTGCCAATTTCATATTTGACACATGGAATAACAAATTCAATTTGCACAATGAATTTGTAGTGGTTGTGTTAAGTGTTTTTAATCCTTAGACCACAATGAAAACTGCTGGAACACCAGTAATTGTGTCACGTTATAAAAGAAATGTTTTCAATCTTGGTAAGCTGCAAGAAAAGGTGATACTAAGACAATTGCCGTTAGGACTAATGCCTATTAGATAATTGTTAGAAGTGAAGTACATTCAATCATTGAATTGTTATTTGTTCTCAGATCTCTCTAGCAGTGATTCAGATGAGGAGGTTTCTTCACCATCATATGCAAACTTCCACACCAGTGATGTTGTCAAAAAACAGATGGTAAGAATATTTACATTTATTTTATTTTGCACCTAAAACTAGAACTTTAACTTCTTGGTTGACTTGTAATGTAATGTTTATCAGATGAAGCAATGCTGTAAATGAGGTATAAAGTACCTTTCTGTCTGAAAATGTGAGTTTTTGGGAGAAGATCTAGCAAAATTTTCAGGATTTGGTTCATTTTCAAAAGGTTTATGCACTTGATTGCACAAATGTTGACACCTAAAAGCATTAGCAATGAATGATGAGACCCAATAGCTTTATAGGTTGATCAATTCAAAGCTTTAACATTCTTCCCCTTCCCCATACATTTGAACTTTCAGTTTGTTCAAATTCACAACCCCGGGGGTAAAACTTTGTGTTCAAATGCTTCACCCAAATTTTTGTAAATGGAAAAATAAGTGAGGGTGACTTTCAACTCTTGACATTTCAGTATACTTGTATTCTGCCCGAAAGACTTGACACCTCCAGTTCAAGTTCCTCACCTTGGGGACAGGCAACAGTCAAATACTTGGGTTACCAGGAGGGGGAAGATCATGTGGAAACCTTTGAATATTTGGCGCATTATACACCTGTACATGATAATCACTATTAGTTGCAAATGGTTAATGATGGAAGCCATGCACGTTTTTTTGAAAGAAAAGAATTATGATCATTTAACAATTAGGCTTTCCATGATTAATGGAAAATCAAAGAACTGATTATGTAACTGTGTGAACATTTCCCATAAAGTGGTTACCTAGGTCTTATCATTCATGGGTCTTGCTTTTTAGGTGTCAACATTTTTGCAATGGAGTGTTTCTCTCTCATGAGCATTTGCTGCTTGTTTTAGAAAACCAAAATTGAAACAGAACAATCACCTACAACTGTATGCAATTGTTATTTTTTTTTTTAGGAGAGAATGGGTTTCAAGCAAGAGTTTGGTCTTGGAAAGTCAGAACAGGGAAAATCTGAGCTTTTAGTGGACAGGAAGGAAAGACTTCCTGTTAAAGATGAGATGAGCAGTACCCCTCAACCAGGATCTGGCTACAGTACCTTTGCTCAAAAGCAAATGGTATGAACAAATTCAAATGTGTTAGACCAGTAATGAATCTCATTCATCTCTCTGTGATACATGATGACTGGGTTGGAAAGTTGGGAAGATTTTTGCACATGCAAAACTGGAAGATTTGGATGTAACAATGCATTAAAAACACTCTGCACTTTTGTTAGTAAATAGGCAAATTTTATCGCAAATTTAGGTGCCAAGATTTCCTTACTGACAATGGGAACCTAAATAGGTAGAAATTGCTACATAAACATAAAGATGACTTTCTTTGCTGTTGTTTACTTCCAAAGGAAAGCATGGGCTTTGAACAGGGTAGAGGTCTCGGCAGATACGGACAAGGAAGATCTGACATTATTGAGACTTCACAACAGCGTGGAAGGCGTGGTCTGGGATTCAGGGTCGAAGGTTTTGATGACAAAGATTTTACATGGCAAGAGGAAGAAGAGGTAAGAAGTATTTTGTGATGGAAACACTCAGGCTTGTGGGAAATTCTTTTTTTTTCTTCAGTTGACATATTTTATGTGCTCTGAGAACCACAGTGTATTCTCTACAGCTATCACATGAAACATGTTGTATTGCTATCTTTACCTCTGATTGTTTGTTTTATTCTCATCCTTATTATTACTATTTTATTTTTATCAAGTGTTATTTTTTATTAATGTTTTTCTTTCAGGTAGTCATAGTAGAACCCAGGACATGCATTCCATCATGTCCCCGACAACCACCAACACGAGAAGAGATGGAGGATTGGGTTAGAGTTAGTAAGGTAAAATTACAAAGTTGTGCAATGTCTTGTTTTTATGGCAAATTAGACAAAATGTTCACAGACTAATTTTTTAACTGCATGGGTTTCTTTAAAGATGACTTGGAACACAAGTTGTAAAGATAAAAGTAAATTTATAGTTAACTGAAGTAATTTAAATGGAATTTTCCAGATAATAATAATTTACCCAGCCAAAAAATGTTTACATTAAACCATCACAGAAAAACAAATTTTCATTCAGTCCAGCTACCTGAGATATAGTTGTTTGTTGAAGGAACTTAACATTTCAAATTACATCAAGTCAATAGTGAAGAGCTATATTAATATTGAATTGTGAAGATTATTAATTGTCAACTGAGTATATAACTGAACATTTTTGCTTTTAACCAATTTCTAGAAAAAATTGTTTATTGACGATGAAACAGAATTCTGCAGTGAGGAGGTTCTGTCAGAGGTTCTTGAGAGCAAGGTACAATTTCTCAGACATATTTTAGTATTAAGAAAAAACTTTTATTTAATTCTCTCTTTATTCTGACTTCTGTTCAGTCTTGAAATTGAGGGGCAGTAAAAAAAAGAATTTGTTGAGCAAGAGTGAATCTTGTGTGTCTGACTTTATGCAGATGTACTAACTTTTAACTTACAATACAGTACATAAATGATTTTATATCCTTGATTTGAAAAAAAAAAGAATTTTTAAGGGGGTTAAGTACAGTTTTATGAGTTAGGACATTCCTATGAGTCAGGAAACCCTGGAAAGGAATTAAAACGACATGTAGAGGTGAACCTCTTAGAGTCGCATGTGATGGTAACTGTTGGCAGTAACTCCTTTTATTGAGATCCCCGCCAAGGACAGGTAGAGATGGATACTATGCTGACTCAGCTGTCACATTATAATATTTATATAATATTTATACCATGTCATTAAATCCTGTTTACAGACTGTTTTTGACGCTCTCAGTGGTGATGAGTTCCTCAAAGCCAGAACACGGGCCAATCCATATGAGTTAATCAGAGGTGCTGTCTTTCAGAACAGGTAACAGAAAGAAGACTGTGACTACTCTAACCCGCATAACTCCCACGAGGGACCAAGACAGAATTTCTCCTTACAATATCAATATAATATCAAGCAGACAAGTGATGAGAATAAAGAAAAATATCAACAAGGGGATCTGATCATTACTTAATCCAATACCAAATTCTCCAAACTAACACGAAAAGAATTGTATGGCAGACAGTAAGGAGAATTACTAGTTAGATCCTGGCAGTGAAAGGGCTAATGTCATGGGTCATTGGGATCAATGTCAATATCCAAACAACTGTGCACCCACCCCTCTCCTAATTCAGCATTAACCATTACTTGGGTCATTGGTTCTTGCACTCCCTAGAAGTGAAAGTTACTGTAATTTCCCAACCTTAGGCTGGTGATGACTGCATTCCTCATTGTTTAGTTAAGAGAATTTAGCATCACATCAGAGCATCCTCTCCATGATTACTTTGGCAATTCTCACAACCCTGTTCCTCCACGGTGTATTGAAATGTAGTGAGAGTTTATCAATTGATCACTTTTGGAGTCATTGGTTTAAATGAAGTCTGTAACTAAAAAAATTAACTTAACTTTGGTCAGTAATGTGTTTTGTCTTCATTAACAGGGCAGCAATGAAAATGGCCAATATGGACTCTGCTTTTGACTTCATGTTTACCAATCCAAAGAACAACAGAGGAGTATGTAATGAGATTAGTTACACTGCTTGATTCTGAAATAAAACAAGGGCTTGTGATCCCTTCCCTTCTTGGAGAAGGGGGGACTACAGTTGTTTAAATCAGAATGAAAAACTTTAGCCTGTCTTAAAAGAGGGTTCTGGCAGGCAGTAAAAATCACAAACTTGCCTGAATTTAGAGTTCTCTCGTCCATTCAGCAATTAGCTGTTTCATTTTTTCATATCAATTTTTGTGCTAAGAAGCCTAGCACTCAATAAAAATAAGTCATGCACCAGAATGTCAGAAATGCATTTTTATAAGTCGACTGATGTTTGAAATTATCATGGAGACAATGCCCTGAATCCCCTAAGAAGCTAGTGCTTTTCCCAGAAGTAATCCCTTCTCAGCTCACTCAGTCTAGAACTTTTTATTTACTCCAGTTCTCTCTGAAAACACTGAAAAAGAGATCATTTTCAGCTGCAATACAACTGTACCTTGCAGTGCAGGTGTCTTATTGGGGCAAATTATCATTGCAAGCTCACAATTATATTTTCGACTGGCCCCATCTCTCCCCTCTTATTTCTTTTGACAGTCGCTGATTCCCTGGGCACAAATTTATTTCTCTCCCCAGCCTTCCTTTGCCATAAGAATCAAAGATGGCAACTATAATTTTTATGAGGAAACACTGAGCACTTGCTAGCCAAGATTACTCTTACGCTGCAAGCTCCCTCTGCAAGCTCTCTCTGCAAGCTTATAGAACTGTAGTTATCTGTGATTAACGCAACTCTTCAATTTATTATTTTAGATGGACATGGTTGAACCGAATGAGTTGTTGTACTTTGCGGATATTTGTGCTGGACCTGGTGGGTTTTCAGAGTATGTTCTGTGGCGAAAGGGCTGGCAAGCTAAAGGATTTGGCTTCACTTTAAGAGGTACTGACAGTTAGTATTGATAAGGCTTGTTGACTATTTTTAATTAAGAAATTATGATAGGCAATGTGAAAATCGGTTGTACTGAATCATTCTGCTTATTAAAGAAATGTAAGTTATTGGGCAAGTACAAATTTACTTGTGGTGAACTT